GCGCTTAGCACTTCTTGCGAGGATCGGACCGCATCAGCATCATCCACTCCTGTTTGCTAATGGGATAGGCCCAGACTGTATAGGTGTTGATTCTTGAACTGAGGCGAAGTCAATCTAGCTGTGCAGGTGAAGACGTTCAGCGAGGTTTTCACCTTTTTCGGCGTCGGCCGGAAGCCACAGACCCTTACTGAAACAGAAGTGGACCATGCTCTGGTTGTAAAGGAACATGGTCTTTCCAGGGGCCGTGTTCCAGGCCGGGTCATCTAGCGCAGCGGATGGGACTGTTCCCAGCGGAGGGCGGATCGCCGGGCGTGGGTGCCGAAACCTCGTTGGCACGTCGTTGTGGTCAGGCCGCAGGGCGCGGTGAGGTGCCATTGCGAGTGTTGCTGGGGCAAGGTGAGGCGGCCACGGTGGTGGGGAAACTGGGCGCCAATGTGGCCCGCTTAAGGCGCGAAAGCGTGGGATGGTGATGTGAGGAGGGCAGGCGAAGCTCAAAATGGAAGCCAAAGGATTTGGATGGAGGAAGATGGAGGGATAATTACCGGCATCCTCGCCCACATGGGATGAGACAATTAGCAGGTGGCCTGTTGTTTTTGCGTTTGGGGAGGGGATACTATCAGGACATTCATCAATCAACCGCGAAGAGTGGCATTGCCCAGGTCCCTAGCCGCTAGCCCCGTTAGGCGACGTTAAGGGTGCCTTGTTGAGGCAGTAAGAGTGCTAGGCTGCTAGGCTGCAAATTGCCTGCGCAGAGAGAGAGAGAGAGCAGAACCAGAGAGCAAGCCATGATAACCTGGACCTTCCAAGTGACCGAGCTTGATCCCTTGGTTTGAGGTCACTTTGGTCTCAAACCAAGGTTACAAAGAGGCACTCCAAAAAGCTCACTTCGTTGGTTTTCGGTTGGGGCTTCTCATCCAACCGGGTCGGGATCTCCGATCTCCCGCGCAGGGACCTGGCGTTGGTCTCCATCGATGATGCGGAGAGTCCTCCTTTTGATCCGGCTGAGCGAGCCTGGAAACCAAAGAGCGTTTTTGGATCGTTTTGGATGTTTTTTGGGGGGCAGCACTTCTTTACATGTAAACAACGGCAGCAGTTGATCTGCCTGCAGAGATTCAGATTACATGTTTAACAGGTGCAGCTTTTGGCGGGGTATATGAAAAACTGCATGTCGAGAGTGGGGACTGGCCCAAGACAAGCAACGGAAGGCTCTCTCAGCTTTGATCTAAAGTAGATGTATGCAAACACCAGCACACATCAGCGCACAAAGATTGATACTCATTCGCACATAAATGCCAATGCTGGCAGCACCTCCATCAGGTCTCCGGCAAAGGACTAGCCGATCCTAAGAGCTCAACAATTGACCTGTTCTCGACGTTATACTGTATACAATCTGTATAACATTGTAGAACTATACTGTCGTATTTGATCCCTGCGATTTCTGGTCGGCCAGGGACTTCGGAACATGTTTGCACCTCCAACATCAACCAACCCCGCACCCCCGCCCTCCACCTTCTTTTGCCGGGTTGAATGTGGGGTGCCTCTCCACCTCTCTGCCTCTCCACCTCAGGAATTTGCTCGGCTGCGCAAGCGACCTTGGCACAACGGCTGCGGGCCTTGCGCCTGGTCTTGGGTGACTTGGCGACACGCAACGCTGCCATCGCGCGGGAGGAGGACAGCGCACAGGACCGTGAGTCGGTCAGGGGAGATTTGATGGATTTGCGTCCAAACAGTGGGTGGTTCTGTGAGTGGACTTTTTGCTTGTTTTCCTTCTTCTTGGCTGGCTCACAGAGCTATATGGGTAGACTTCTTAGACCTTTTTTGAGAACTTCGCTTAGGGAAGGTGAGTTTCAACCCATGTTTCAATTGCAATTGAATGACCCCGGTCCAACTTGTGTCCCCCTACGATCCCTTACGTCAATGCTCGCAAGGCTCGTTCGAGAACCCTCGTGCACACAGGTTGCAAATCGGAAGATTTCAAGGAGGAAAGCACGTTGCACGGCAGAGGCATAGACTTGCCAAGACTCGCTTGAGACCAGACAGATCGCCGTCTACAATCTATAGCCTGTCGTAAAGCCATAGAGTCTGTTTATTTGAAACTATGATTGGATTTGCTCCCACCTACCCACCAACCATGAACTCATGTTTGACCATTCGTTTGGCGTTGTCGCTTGTCGCTATTGAACACACGAGTCTATATGATGCATTGTTTCTCGCTTTGGGGCAACCCACCCAGCCCCAACATGCCCAGCAAAGAGCCACCCATTGGTTTAGTTCAGGTATATTCAGGTATGTATCCCAGGCCATCCATGTAACTATGGAATTTTTATTTATACATTTTTATTGACCCTTGAAAGGTTTTAAGCTTGAAACTCATCCCAATGTAGTCAACTGTTCCATACATGGGTTGTTCAAGCAGCATATGTTGATCATTGTTGATCACTTTTTAGTGCGGCTGGTCCTCCACTGTCAAAAGTGCAGGAGCGCACCCCAGAGGGCCTGCGGCAAGTTCAGGTGCGGCTACTTTTCCCAGGTGGGCATGGGTCAAATTTTGTGTGAACCTGGCTGGAAAAAACGTGAAGGGAGAGATAGAGAGAGAGAGAGAGATGCTGTGTATCACATCAACGCAGCTAACCAGTCCACCAATGTATCGGATTGGTGAAGTTCCTGTAGAAGATTCAAGCTCGCTCAGGCGACCGCTGGGACGAGCTTGCACCGCAGCTGGAGACAGAGAGACAGAGCTTTCCGGAAGTCACGCTGGATATCCAAGAGCCACAGGTGGTCTTTGGGCAGCCAGCACCTCGGCAAGCACAGGGACAGCCGGCATGGGTGTTTGTGTTTTCACCTTGGACTCATACGGTGTTTGCGGAAGTGTTTCCTTCTTCTTCCTGCGATTTTTTTTATCGGGAGGACCATCCATGTACTGTGCGCGATGGGTCCAATGAAGCGGCCACAGGTTGATCGCCGTGACGTGACGTGATTTCGTGATTCGTGGCTTGAACTGGTGGATGTTGGAGTAGCAATGTTCCAGTCTAGATTTTTAGTTGATGCAGGTCTGCAGCTTGGTCTAGTTTCTGGACACTTTGAGACTTGGAGCATGGTTTTGGAGCATGTGGGCTCCTTGACGCGTCCGGATGTGTGTACACCGCTGTATGATGTCATTCCACCACCTTCCCGTCCCGCGACTTTTGGAAGTCTTCATTTAACACAATTCGAGAATTCCACAACTGGAGGGGTGATATACTGTTGCTTGAATATGATGAACTGTTGTGTGTGTACTGTATAAATCTTTGGAGGGGTGATATTCCAGTGGAGGGGTGGTTCTCCCAAAGATATACTGTTTGGATTTTTTTGGTGCAACTCGTTTAGGGAATGAACACTGAGAGGGTCCGTTTCGGCATCCGTTCTGCGGCCTAGGCGTTGCTACGGTCGATTGGGCTGAGCGGCCCAGAGGAGGCTGTGGCCTTGTGTGGCTGGCGGCTGCACAAGGCACTGGAGCCCTGGGAGCTGCCGGAGCCTCCTCCCCGGAGCGAACGGACGGAGGAGGAGGAGCGGCCGAAAGGCAAAGGCAAAGGCGCGGCGGAGCTGGAGAGGAGACCTGAAGTTCAGAACTCACAAGGAAGCAGTTGTTCAACTGACTCCAATCCGTGTTGGATGAGACTGGAGAATCCGTGTTGGATGTGTCAAATTCGGTGGCTTTCGTTCGAAGTTCTTAGGGGAGAATTATGGATTTTTTGAACATGCAGACATCTCATGATCTGAAATGCGTCATTCTTCCGTTTGGAATTCTGTTTTGGAGACTCCTGCCTTTCGGTCAGGCAAGGGACCTGCGGGACCTCGCATCGAGAACGCGATGGCCGGCCGCACGGAGAGCGTGTTCCCGCCGGCACGGCCTCGCGAAGCGATGCCACCAACCACTGCCGACACGTTTCCTCGGGCGGCTGACGCCTACCGAGACGTCCTCTACCGGGCTGATGGTGGGAGTGCTCTGGGTGCGCAGCCCATGTTGATCGCGGTAAGGGACTTTCGAATTGCCAAGTACCTGGCAAGTGAAGCAGGGATTGCAAGCAAGGCTGGAGTGAAACTGTTGGCGCGGCCCAGTGAAGCTGGTGCTCCGGCCATTCTGGAGATTCATGGGCCTGTTGAAGCTGCAGCAACTGCCTGCTACTTTGTGCAGCTCCAGTTGTGGTTGGAGGGAGCCTTGGGAAAGGAGTGAACGAAAACACCGCCCAGAACCTCTAAAGGCCACTGCCCTCGCATGAATCGCTTAGAGAAGTGGCGCTCGGAAAAAGTGGAACTCGGTCCGTCGAAGGTCCCGTCTTGAGTTCACAGCCCTGGATATGTCTTCGCTTCAAGGGGCCAAAAGAAATACATCAGAGGATTGAAAGTGCATGCTTGACCAGTAGGTGGTCATTGGTTCAGTTTCCGTCTTTGAAAGGGTCGATCCAGATGTGCCAAAAATGGTGGTTCCTTAGGGAAGTCCGAATTTAGTGATTCTGCTATAATTAGATTTAGATATTGGTTTTCTGGTTGAGCAATGAAGTTGCGTGGGGGTAGTCTAAGACGTCTGACGCTAAACTCGATGTTTGCTAGATTGACAGGAGCTTTGTGATTTCTAGCTATAGTAAACTGACATTAGGTTAGGATTGCTCAGGCTGCTACATGAACCGAATGGGTATAGATGGGTGTCCAAGGGGTCCACTAAAGCACCGAACTCGGGGATGTACCCAGAGGACTTCAGTTTCGAGGATGGTTCAATCCGGGCAGAGACTCTCGGCTGGATCGATCACCGCTTTCTCGGGTCAACAAAGGATCGATTGATCCGCTACTTGAAAGCGGAGCTCGCCACCAGAAAAGTCCCATCCAGAAATCAAGAGATGTGTTGTCCAACAGGCTGGTGCTTTCTGCTAGTAATTCGTGTGGGGTGGTGGTGCTTTCCATCGAGCTTTGCAGCGAGACCTCCCCCCCGGAGAGCGATGCTACAACGCCTCGTTGCTTCGTAGGTGACGGCCTCCTGGAGCCGATTAGATGAGAAACAAGGCTCCATGGTGAAGGCGATGCTGGGGTAGGGGGGGGGATGTCATGGGGTGGCTTCGGGAATCGGAAACACAAAGAGCCCACCAGGACTAGAGAAAAACGCTGAACAACATGGAACAACAACTCTCCAACCTTCAACCGTTTTTCAGTGATTGTTCTCGTGTCATGCTTGCGGGGCCTGCTTCGGACAGCAGTTCTTCAGCGAACAGAGCTGCAAATGGCTGCAAAGTTGAAGCTGCTTTCAAGGAATGCGCCCAAAATCCATGGTCGAAGCAGGATCGCTGTGTATATCGTTGTGATTTATAGATCTACCTTACAGTGTGTGTGTGTGTGTGACACATGTGTTTCCATGTGGACCCGCCGTTTTGGAAGAGCAAGGCTCTCAGAGATCGGTACCGGACCGGACCGGTGACAGCCGTGGGGGGGACAGGACTCCTGGGGACAGAGGACCCCCCTGGAACGAACACAAGCCAGACATCATGAGCGGTCAACTCCCAGGCGCCCAGGTGATGTTCGGATTTGGCTCACCCTGTGGGGGTCCATGATTTCTGAACACCAGGTCACTGTTCTGTTTCAGAATCTGTCTCACGCATCTTGCACCCGCCCCCAACCAGACTTGCACCTTTCGGCAAACGAAAAGATGCGGTTTCTGAAAGACAAACGTCCAGTTCTTCCTGGCGCTTCTCCAAAGCCTCCATTTACTGCGAAAGCGACTCATTCTGGTACCACCATTGGCCTGCCTGGCGGAAGAGAACACCACGCCTGAAGAATCATGCGCCTTCACTTAATTTCCCCCCATGCTTCAGAGCTTTGGGTCTGCATGGTGGACCAGTTCGCATTTCTTTCATCAAAAGCCCCACCGGACTCTTCACGGTCTTCGGTCGATGTCTTTTTTCGATGTTCTACTGACGACACCGGATTCCAAGCACCGAGAAAAATAAAGTATTCAATGGTCGTCACGTGTGAAAGCACTAGTTTAGCCTGACCCCAAAAGCATGGTTTTGCTATGAGGCTTTTACACAACCGCGCCTTACTTGCGCCCTATCAGGATGACCTGATCAAGGCCGCAAAAGTGGGGGGAGGGGGCCGTTACTTTTTTGCACTGCCATGTGGACCATGACGGATGTGCAGCGTGCAATTCTATGTGGCACGCGGTTTTCGGATGTTGATGGTCGATGCAGTCCTCAGATCGTGAATGCCACGAAAGATTGGCAGCTTCTAAACAGAAAGCAGCTGCAGTGATTGTTCAGCATGCTTGATCTACTGTAAATGGTGTCTAAATGGCACGGAGAGCTGCTTTCTTTGCCCCTCTCTCAGGGTGGGGCCTCACCTCTCTGGGAAGAAGTACATGAGGATCTTGTTGATTTCGTGACATCTTGCTCCCTAGTATCTCACAAAAGCCTCCTAGACAGACACCCTCTCCATGTCGCGTTCTGCCAGTACCGCGCCGCGAGCGGCGCCGTCATGTCAGGTCTCCTTGACCTCGTCCATCGCGAAGCCGGCGAAGCTCAATGTCACCTCGCCCCATGGGCAGCAAAACTGCGGTGGTGCGAGGGCCCAGGGGCCCCAGGGGGTACCGGGAGAACAACTGCGTGGAGGACGGACTGTTTGGGAGAAGGGAGGCGGGATGCAACTAACTTCATCTTCGGTTTTGTTTTAGGTTGATTATACTGTATATGATTATATATGGTTGGATTTTGTTGGAATGAACATGCATAATGAAGAAACACTTTTCTCAATTTATTTGCAAAGGACTGTGGGAATACCTCAATGACCTTCTATATGATCTATATAATAAACCGAATCAGCCGTGGACTGGATAGGATTTGAGCAAAGAAATATAAGAAATGGAAACGCACCCTATGTGGATCATGACCTAGCAGAATCTTGAAATTCACAAGATGACAACACCAAATATGTATCAAATTACTCTAGTTGGTCGCAATGGCAATACTGTGTTTGCTTCTACTGTGCCTGGACGATGCCAGGAGAAGCAACCAAGTCCTTTGTGTGGTGGGATCTGGTGGGGTTACACTGGATCAAATTGTATTTCCGATATGCTTTAGCTCAATCACGCAACAACGCGGACTTGATGAACTTTGGAGGAATTGGATGGACGCCCCTGCAAGAATCATACACCCTACGCAGCCCTTCTACACGCACTGATTCCTCTAGAAACAATCTTGATCTCAAATATGTGATCCTGTTTGCACGGCTTCAAAAAGACAACCTCGCCCGATCCACGCATGAACCAGAACACCCAACTGCAGCAGTTCCCACCTACGCTCCTGCACTCCTGCGCTGCCTTTTTCCCAACACCCAGGACCCACGCTTGCCATGGCACTGGTCCACACCTTGCTGGAATGATGGTCCATCGGACCTTGCTGGAAGAGTTGGAGCAGGATGTTGATTTGTCCTATGCCACCTCCATCCTCCATTCCGCGCGGCCAGGCACGCGCTGCCACGAGCTTCGGGAACGCCTGGCCGGGCGACGTACCGGGCGCCAAGTGACACTTCTGGTTCCAGTGAACAGTGCCATTCGAAAGGCGGCGGAAAAGAAGAGAACCACACTGGAGCTCTATTGCAGGATGCCGGAGGCTGTGACGAAGTCAACTTGCTTGGGACATCTTGGGACATGGTTTGAACACTTGTTGTACGTGTTGTAGGCCTTCAAGTATCTCCGAAGGTCTTCGGATCCTCCAAACCAGCCCAAACACCTTGTCAGAAGGTACTTGGAGCCCTACGGATCCGTTGGTAAGAAAGGAGTCACATGGGCTGATTAGCTGATTCATATTTTAGATTTCTCTCGTCTTCTCTCCCTTGGAAGCTGCTGAACCGAAACGGCAGGTGGCCGAAACTCTGGCGGGTCATGCGATCTTGGACCGCTGGCCTTTAGGGGCCTTACGAATGTTGGGCGCTCCCCTGGAGACCTTCCATTCGAACATGCAGCTGGCCTTTGTACCGCGTGGTGCACGTGCGGTGGGTGTGAAGCTTGTGGGGTCTGGAGAGCAGCCGGCCAGTTGCTCCGGAGAGACCTCTTGTGACAATGGCTTGCTCCATAAGCTTCAGCGAGTTCTCTTGCCTCCCATGCAGGGATGGCAAGGATTCGTGGGGCGAGGGGAAGCGCGGCAGAAGATGCAGCAAGCAGATCTGGAGGTGGCTCGGTGGAAGTCTTCAACGGCGTTACATGATGCCACATGGAACATTTATGTCAAAAGCCTCCTTCGATGGAGCGCAGAGAAAAACCCTCGGAAGAGTGGATCCATTCCTCATAGTGCGCATAGTGGTCTGTCTAGATGTGAGTTTTTGGGAACCGCTTGCGGGACTGTATACATGCAAGTATATAATGGAAGAGTGATGAAGAATGGATTTCAACAAATCAACCGTCTTAGGGGTTTCGTTTTGATGTTGACACATCCATCGTAAGACTCCGTGTCTGGACTTGTCCCGTTGTGACATCCGTTGTAAGAACATAGGGATATGAATATGATGTCTTTATTTAAACCGCAAAAACAAAACATTGTTTTGACCAATTTTTTCTCTGAGTTGGTGAGACTCGTTCTATGGCGAGGTGTTGAAGGAGCGGCGCTTGCTGAATGGACGGATTCGGGCAGGTCCACCATGGGCTCCAGGCCCGGTCTCTAGAGCTGTCGTGGCGCGACGTACACCTTCAGCACACATGCTCCTGGACCGTCAACGGCCTCAAGCCTTTGCGCCGCTGTATGGTGATGATTACGAGCCCTGGTTTTGACTGCTACGCAAGGGGAATGGGATGTGCTGAATCTGGGGGAACCTTCACGCAATACCTTGTGCATCCTTGGTGCATTTGTCTAAATTTTTGGTGGAGGTGCAACATACATGATAAGAGGGCAGTAAATTTAGAGCTTAATTTGCTATTCTGCATGCTGTAATGCGGTGGCTTTTATTCTAGGTCTCTTGGGCAATCTTAGGAGCCAACGATCTACACAGGCAACAAGCCGCTGCCACCACGACGGGATGAATCACAGCTACGTGCTGCTGATGCTGCTGCAGACAAGGCCAAACCGCACAGAATCCATCCTTCCCAAGCTCCCACACTCGAAGATGCTTCTTTTCTGCACTCGGCCGATGACCCCCATGCAAAGCCACATAAACCACCCTGCTTGGCGCAAGACAGCTGGGGATCGAAAGACGCGTTGTGAGGCTATAGTGGGCAGGATCTTTCGTTGGGCCATTTTGCATGATCAGATGACTTCAATTGAACGGGTCAAACAGTCAATGACCTAGTCTCTCCAACATATCATCGCTCGTTCCATAGCGGTGATCACCATGGTTTTGGGGCTTCAGACACCCTGTGTGAAGACTGCTTCTCCAAGGTTTGGGAGGAGTGGGAGCCATTGCAAAGAGAGGAGATGCGACTGCAGAAGGAGCTGCAAGGCTTGCAGGAGTACTTGCGGTCAAAGGAGGCCGGAGAAAAATGCCAAAGCGATTTCACCAAGGTTGTTCTTGAGGAAAATCTGAAGATCCACGGAACAAAGTCGATGTCCTCTACCCAAACAGCGTTTCCTTGTGGATCTTATTATATTCCATGCTATCCCAATATAGAAAGACTCAGGCCAGGCCGGTGATGTTGATGCATTCCTCGGGTCCGGGGCATTGTCTTAGGCAGTCCGCAACCCAACGCGCAGCGCTGCGCAACCGAAATCCATGTTGACACCATGGAGACACAGAGCTCTCATGTGCCCCCTCCCTTTTTCCATGACCGTTCAGCTGCTCAAGTCTGTGAACCAGACGGGTCTGGAGTTGGGTGGTCGACCAAGGTGTGTCTAGAAATTAATGCTCCGCTGGTGTAGGGTATTCCATTGGTGATGGAGAAAAACATGTTTTGTTTGTTAGTGTGTTATGTGCCCAGGCACTCGATGGGACGAACAGCATATTTGGAGGAACATTGAGTGGTTGACCCGAGGTCGATGTAGGCAAATTGACCCATATAATAACAAGCTTCGCTACGAACAGAACAAAGGGCAGCCGAAAACGAACGGAGCAAGGACCTGTACCAGGGGCTCCTGGCCATACTACGAACGGAGCGGTCGGACGCTACTGACGGTCAATGTTCCAGTCCCCATGGAGTCCCATGAAGTGCCTTCGTCGATCAGATTCGAGCGAAGCGCCGAGCGCCTCCTCAGGCTGCCATCGCAGAGCATTCGGCCTTTCTTCGTGAGGTTTTACCTGAGCCTCTTGGGAAGAACGGCAGGTAGCAGGTGATTTCATGTAGTCAGTCTTACATTCACCACTGAAATGTGCAGGTGTATGGATTATAGGGAGACTTAGGACCATTTGGACCCTGTATTCTCCGTCTCCCCAAGCAAAGATTTGTCAGGCAAGTACATTTAATATTATACAGATGACTGTAACTGCATATACTGTAACATATCTATATCTCTCTCTATATATATATATGCAGACTGTTACGAAGTAATAGTGTCTTTTAGGAACGTAGCTGGTTGTGCATCGGTGGCCATTTTGGCTTCAAGTGGCCCCCCCCACACACTCTTTGAAGTCTAGTGCCATGGACCTGGATGATGCCCCCATGGACTGGGGAGGAGTGGCGGGGGGGCCATTGACTGTCGAGGATTCGATGGACGAGGACGAGGGCGGGGAGAGCTTGGTGAACCTGGCAGCTAGAGTCCGAGAGTTGGAGTCCATGAGGGCAGAAGACGTCCAACCCGAGACTCCAACCGAGAAGTTTAGCCCTACGGAGCTGCAGGAGGATGACAACCAGGTGGTGAGCCCTTTGATGAAGCTCAGGGAGCTAGTGGAGAAGCAAAACACAGTGACGTCCTCTGCAGGTGAGTCCTCGGTGGCGATGACAGTCGACAGGGACGAGTACAACATGATCGGAAGTGAGAGCTAGAAGTTGAAGCAGTATATCCCAGACTCTCTGAGGATGCCTTGGGAAAAAGGGTTCGCAGGAGTGGTGTTGACTGGTAAGTCTGGTGTCCTTCCCCTCGAGTGCTTGCAAGAAAGTGGACGCAGCGCAAAGGTCATGGAACTTGAAGTTGAGGTTGAGGCGCAGCAGAAAGAGGAGGTCAAGGTGAAGCCCAGTCACACCACCAAAGACAGCATGAGGCTTCCTTGGGCTCGAGCTCAGGCAGAAGAACGTGACAAAGTCCTCGCAGGCTGGATGGTGGTGATTGCAGAGGCAGGACGGCACTCGAAGGGGAGAGAGATGATAGAGAACAGTGGAGAAGAAGTTCTGGACGACATATTTGCCAGAAAGAAGAACGGAACACTTCAAGTGAGGTTGAGTGCCATGCTGCTGTACGTCAGGTGGGCCAGAGCAAAAGGTTTGCGCCCGTTCCCGCTGGATGAGGACGTTTGCTACAACTACGTGGACCAACTCAGGCGGGATGGTGCACCAGCAACACGGGCAAGCAGCTTCCGGAGCGCCTTGGCGTTCTGCAAGGCCTGTGGCAGGCCTATCTCGGGGGTCATGTTTAAGCTCACCGAGGAGGTCCACGCCCTGGGAAGCAGTGCAAGGTGTGCGAGGGATATGCCAGGTAAAGTA